GTATACTCCCTGTACTTTCCCATCCATAGCTCCCAAAGACACCTGGATCTTTAGATTACCTCATCAGTGTCCCTGGCATTCCTTTCCCATGCCCTTTTCCATATAAACCCTAGCTCCATTCTCAGTCTCTTGCAGGTTCCTTAAGAATCCTTGCCCACTGAAAAGCATAACAATAAATCTTTGCCACCTTGGCTTAAAGAATGCTAGAGTCTGTGAATTCATTCCAGACAACCCTGTCCTGTACTTCAGTCTTTGAGGGGTCTCAACTTCTCAGACTGCAAAATTTATGGTGCCCAATGTGGGGCTTGTCTGAAGTCTCAAGCCTTCTCCAAATCAAGGTAAACCTCTCTTTCCTTCTGCCCTGTAGTTGGGTTGAAGGCTTGCTGGGACTTGGGTTGAGCCTGCAACAGGCTCTTGCAAATTTCCCTCTTGACAAGGGGATGCCTTGTTGGGAACTTCTGCAGGTTTTTTCTCCCTCACCAGGACACTGGTCAAGGTGAGTAGACTACAGGAGCAAGTCCTTCTTCTTCTTTTTCTTTTTAGGCTTGTAGGCAAAGAGGATGGGCCAATCTCCCTCTACATCTCGAGATTTGCCCCTATGTTATCTTTTACAGAACTGGAGAAAGCTAAGTCTCCAAGACGTTAAGGAAAATTTTGCCTGGTCTCCATATGATCTGGCACCATGAAAAAAATTGTCTGATTTGTGCAGGGGATTTCTGACAAGTTTCTCTGAGCTTTTGGATTCTCCCTGTCATCTGTATCTGTTCTGTGTTTGTGTCTATGTGGTATGAGTGAGTGTCCATGTGTAATTTGATGCCCTTTGCAGCCAGGTTAGCAAGAGTAGGATCCCAAGGCTGCAGCTGGAATGTTGCTTTCCTTCTCTCCCCCTGTCCCTCCCTGATTACAGCAGCCTCAGAGGAGCAAGTGGATGGGAGAGAGAAAGAGAGAAAAATGCTTTATTATTTAGGTTATATGATTGGTAAAAGGCAAGTCGAGAAGGATCCTCAAAGTGTCAGGTCAGAAGTAGAAAGAAATAAGATATATGCAGTTTTAAAGGGACTTTAATCAAAGTCCATCAGAGGGATAAGTAGGTAGAAGGAAAGGCAAGAAAGTTTAAGCATGTAGGAATGAGAGAGGTATGTGTAGAAAGGAAAGCATAATCTATTTGCATGAACAGTGTGAACAGAGGGTTTGAGTGTAAAAGGTTTTGAAACTTTGGAGAATTGTTGGGAAAAAAATTCTCTCTTTCTCTTTGCATTCTAACTCTGGCCAAGTTTTAAATGTGGAGAGAAAGTCAAGAAAGGAAAGGGGAACTTTTTCCCCTCAAATCAAAAAGAAAGGTAGCACTTTTCTGCCTCACATAAAAGAGAAAAGTTTTTGTGTACCAGAACACAACCAAAAGGTAATTTAATTTATTCTGGTAATATTTTAAATGAAATATGATGTTCTTAATTTAATGCTTAAGTCAGAATTTATTATACTTTTGGCACTAAGGTAAATTGGGAAAATGTATGGATCTGAATTTGTTAACTGGGTGACATTAAGCAAGTTACCTCAGTTTATCTCACATGATTGGAAGGTGCCTAACACAATGCCTGGCAGAGGGCAGATATTATAAATGTTAACTCCTATTATTATTAGTTCCTTAATTATGTGTGACCAGTATACAATGTCAATGGTGAAGAGATGCCCTATTTTCTATGTAAGGAAATTTGGAAATGCATTCAACAGAGTTGGAGTCATCTGATTGGTAATGTGTTTGTTTTAAGTTTTAAACACATATATTGTTTCAAATTGGTAAACTTTTATCAGTTATGTCAATCAGCTTTTCATAATTTGGATGTTATTAAAGTGTGAACTGAAAGAAACTAAAGGGCAGTGGAAAAGCTGTGTAAAACCAGTTATATTATTTTGTCAGCCCTGCTAACCCTGTCTTATAATGCTTTATAACTGCCATTTAGAAAACTAGGTGTTTCCACCTTTACCTGTAATTAAAGAAGAGCTTATAGCTAAAACAATTTGACTATCACTTATGAAAGCTATAAGATTGTTAACTAACTTATTTGAAGTTACTGTTTTAGTGTTAAAACCTAGAATAGTTAATTGATTACTGTGTGAAAAGGAGGGGATTGGGTAAAAGCCTTATCCAGCTTGGTTCTGCCCATTCAAAACAGTCCTCCTTGGGATATGGGGGTCAGCAGGCAGGGGCACCAAGATTAGCTCCTCCCTGGGGTACAAGGCAATTCCCCGTATTTTGAAAACTTGCCAAGGTCCCTGGAAACCAACTGTGTGGGCAAGGTCATCTGCCCTTAGAAAAGAACTTGTTTGGGTTATAGAGTTCCTGAATAATGAACTTAACTTGCTGAGAATTTGCAAGTGTATAGAAATGATTTCTAATGATTGGCTTTTACACCAGGACAAGTTTAAATTTGAGAAAGAAAGATGTTAAGTGAAATCTCTTATGTATGTGAGTCCTGGTAAATCTTTATTGCTCATTGCAATGCCTGGGAGTAAAATTAACTGTATCTGGCTTTAAGCTTTGATTAGTGAAACTTGCTGTTTGAGGTAAAAGGCTCTTGGGACTATAACTAATTTTGTTTTGAGTTTGAATTTGGGTATAGTTATCTACATTAAATCAGTATCTAAGAGAAATGCCACAAGATACTGAGAGGGAATGTGATCCTGTACTGTTAACAGGTGGAGGTCTTCATTTGGGAAAAAGCTGTGAGGGCAATCTTAGCCTCAATCTAGGATGGGATCCTCCTGGCTCAGTTTCCCCATTATGTTTCTTTGAGAAGGAATGTTTCCCATCTGACTATTCTTGAGTCTGGCTATGATGTGAAATGGGTACTGCATGATTGGAGAACTGTGACTGTTTTCTGAATTCAAACAGAGCTAAGGATGTTCTGTCTTGTCAAATTTGGTATGTCACATGTCCCCACCTTTTCCTTTTATAGTAGATTTCTGTGATCAGAGCAAGTGGTCAGTAAAAGACATGAGCACAATGTAAGTATGTGAAATCTTGCTGTTTTAATCTGAATTTGTAGTCATCCCATGGCCTAAGTAAGATTAAAATGAGTGTTTGAATTTATCATATGTAAAAGATTCAATTTCTGAAGTATAATTGGAGAAGGATAAACAAGTTTGTGCAACAAATTTGTGTATCTATTCAGCTGTGAGGTTAAAGTTAGGAACCTCTTTTGTTTAAGGCAGTTTTTGCAAGAAACCCCCTCCCTAATGTAACCAACTCAGAGGTCTTTGCCACCCCTTTTGTTCTGTACTCCTTTATGGGAAAATTTTTCTAACACCCTGTTTCTCAACAGGGAAATATTCCCTTGCTTGGGAGACAAGTTCTACGGCCACTGTACAGGTAAAGACCCCTGTCAGGGGAGGGATTGTAAATGTCTCTGCTGGTCTCCTGACTTGAACCACCTGTAAGGATGCCTACAGTGATGAGTGTCCCCAGAACTTTACCTCTCCCAGCTGTACCAGCTGTTCTGAGGGAACACTCCCTACTTGCACCTATGACCGAATTTCTCCTGCCACTCTCCTGGTAGGCTCTCCCTATTTAATCTTCTCTTCTCAGTTGACACACAATATTACAGTCCCCTTCTAGCTATCACACTCTTGTTGATCTTTTGAAAGTTTCTCTCTTACTTGGAATATTAGCATGCAATCACACTGATCCATGGGGCATCCATGCTCAGTACCTTTTACAAACAGGCCCCATCTGTACCCCTAAGGGATATTCCTTCCTTTGTGGGATGGTGGGCCAGGTGGTGAGGATTCTGGAGAAGAAGTAAAGCAAAATGCCACCACTTGGCAGGACCCCAGGACTGTTGTTCTAACCACTCAATGTTTAACACCTTGTAAGGATTTTGTTGTGTGCTCCCTTGGATTTTTGGCACCCCCTGTGACCATTTTCAGTATTACTGCACCTAGTCCCTCCCCCCTAACAAGAGTGAAGCATGGATTCTGGCACAATGTTCCCTCTGGTACCTTAAAAAGGGAACAGAGTATCTCATGTCTTGGTACGGACATTTACGACATGAGTTCATTCTTTCAAACCTGACAGGCACCATTCACCAATTGGCAAATGACACAGCTTATAGTCCCCGGGACATTCAGCAGCCTCTGGATTCCCTGGCAAATGTGGTCCTGGATTATCAAATAGCTTTGGATTATCTACTTGCTTAGTAGAGGTATCTGTGCCCTGGCCAGTACCTCCTGCTATATGTATATTAAC